CATGATTATATAGTCTGTATGTCCCAAAGGCCAGAGATATGAACCCAAGTTTTCCTGACTCCAAGGTCCAGCTTCTGTCCATTTTACAGCTCTACCCTTCTGTCTAGACAACTTTCTATTCCAGACTATTCCCAAAATAGATTTTTCTTTTGATAGAATTATCCAATCTGAATAAACTAGTTATTTGCCACTCCAGAGTGAACAGATTTTAGTTACAAATACTTAAGGTCTCTCAAAATGAATTTTTTTTCCTATGAATTATCTAGTGAAATTGGTCATATGTGAGATTACCTTGCCAAAGACTTCATCACTTGGTGGCTGGTCTACTAGTGATAATCCTTTCCATATTTAGGTAAGTTGGTCTTTTGAAAGCATCTCAGTTCCAACTTTATAAAACTGTCCAGGGCTTACATCCTTCAGGAGTTCAGGGTCACTTTAATGACATGATGGAGCATTGGTGTTGGTTTTTTTCCCCCATAACCTGAATTATCTCCATAGTTACTAACACTCCCTTTTATTTTCTGTACAAAGGCTGAGCTCTGACCCAATACCAAATTCAGAGCTGGATCCAACCTCTTGCCCCATGATTGTGTTAATCACTAGTCTCTTTCTTCATTTCCCCAACCACTTTCTGACCTCAGTTTCACAATAGTGCCTTGTCACTGACTGTTTTTCTTTTAAACTATTAAAAGAGCAAGTGCATTAAGCCTGTCTGAAGTGTAGGTTGAAATATAATGCAAGTGGATGCCTGTTTATAACAAGGAACAGTTTTGGAGGATCAGATCCACTTCATTGTGATGGATTTTCAGCCATCAGAATGGCATTTTCTTTCTTTAATAAGCATGCTGAAAAAATCCTACATAGGCAGAGCAAGAGTTGACACATCAATTTCAGTGACTTCTTTAGCAAAAACCAAGTCAGATAGGATGAATGACTCCTTTCCCAGAAAGCCATTCTTTCCCATCTAATTGCCTTTCACAATTCATTAATTCTCTAGAGACTAGAAAAAATGAGGTATTTCCCAATTATCCTGCCACTGGGAGAACATCGCAGGTGGATCAAAACCGAGGTTCAGTAAAAATGACCAACTTAATTGGAGCTGCCTAATCATAAGACATGGACTCCTTTTATTCCTGACCTTACATAATGCTCAACCCATTAGTTTCTATGCCATTCTCTGAGCACGTGTCCATGATTCTTGGGCTGGGGCTGAGGCTGTCTCAGAAAATGATTGTTTAAGGGTATGTTTAGATGATTTCTGCATGTAATTAGGTCTCTATGACTTTTATCTCATACCAGAGAAATCTAGTACAATGTAAGGTAGAGGGATATTGTGTGGCAGAAAGGTTGCTGGTTGTAGATAGGAAATGTACATAAATATTCACTCATCTCTGCTATAGGTCATGACCTAACGCTGGTACTTGCCAAAATAAGGACTTTCTCTACTTGGCTCTGTTCAACCTAAGTATTAAGTGATCTTTCACTTCTCTAATTTTCCTAAAGTATTTTGTCTAGATTTCTCCTTTTTTAAAAAAAGTCTGAATCATTCCCTACCTTTTATCATACTTATTGGTCTATACATCATAGTTTCTCTACTACACTGTAATCTCCTTGAGGGAAGAACCAACCTTGTCTTTGAATTCCACAGCAAGCATTTAATAAGTATTTGTTAAAAATATTTGTGTTATTAAGGTTATATATGAAGCTTAATGGAGGTGGGAGTGTTCTTTGATTCTTCAGGAGCATAGAATGTGAAATCTTGAAAGGACTCTCACTTTACAAAATGAGGAAGGCAATGTCCAGGGAGATGAAGTAATTTGCCCAAGATCACAACAGTAGCAATTAGCAAAGTTGGACTTCAAACCCAAGTCATAAGATGCAGAGGTGTCAGACTCACACGGCTGCAAAATTTCTGTCTGGCCCATCCAGATTAAAATGTAATTGGAAAATGTTTAATAAAATAAATAAAAATACATTGCAACATAAATAATGCTAATTTGTGATTTTTCTAAGTCAATATGCTGTCTTCACTCCTGATGGATCAGGATGGATGGATCAGAAATCTAGAACAAAAAGATACCTCAAAGATTACCTAGTCTAATCTCTCACCTTGCAGATAAGGAAACTGAGACCAGAGGGAGTTTAAGGAGTATTCTACTTCTTCAGAGCTATTAAAAAAAAAAATCCAACCCTTCTAACACAGGAAATAAATCCCTCTACCACAGGTAATTTCCAATATACAGAGGCTGAGGCCAGGGGTTAGCTTCTGAAACTTTCAGAATGTAATAAACCAGGTAATGCCTTCGGATCACGAGAATATTGAAATCCATGGTTTATGTTTGTAAAGCCACCAACCTATTGCAGACTGCAGAGAGCTGCGTTCTCTCAGTTTTGATGCTATGAGGTAAAAGCTTCACATGTAAGAGATGGCAGTACTAGAATTTCTATTTTGTGAGGGGGTGGGGGTAAAGGTGGGAGTGGGGTTTGTCAAATGTTGCCCTCATCATGCCCTCTCTTCACTATGGCTCTTCTATTTTATGTCCCACCTTTCAGGAAAAGGTTCCAGGGCTTTTCCCAAATATTTGCAGAGTCAGGTAACAAAGATCAGATAAACCTACACCCTGTTTATGGAGTTTTGGTAAGAAAAGTGCTTTGTAAGCCTTGAAGTACTCTGTAAGTATAATTTGCTATTATTGTTGCTCTTGGGAGGTTGAGGGCAGTTTCCATGTTACTGGTAAGTTTTATGGAGAAAACTCATAGCAGCACATTACCATATATCCAGGGCATGTGATCTTGCCCATAGCCTGATAGAGCCTTAGGGTCTAGCAGGAGACTTTACTGCTCTCCTCTTTGCTCAGGACTTCTGACAGTCTAGAAGCAGAGCTGAGAGGACCAGAAAAGTATGAGAGCTGGGAATGGAGAAAGGACTACGTATTCCAAGGCCAGAAGAGGAATGCACCAGCATCATTGGCCACCTGGAAAACAGGCTGATGAGAAGCATAGTTTAGGCCTAATAGAAATCAGGCAGAAGATATAGGAGAAATTAAATCCCCTGTGCCTCATTTTCTTTCTTTCTACTCCATTTTGGCTTAATTTGCACAGCCTCTTTGAGAAGGAACTCCGGCTTTATAAGATGTCTGAATTCCTTCCTTACAGCTTAGTGGTAAAGAGGAATGCTAACTGGAGGAAGAGATAGTGAACAGGGTGGCAAATGACAAGTGTGGGTAGGGCCATTGTAAATTTTGGAGGCTTAAGAGAATTCTGAAGGCCTGATAGCTTTGGAAAAATTTTCTTCCAAGTCTGGTTAGCCAATTAGAATTCTTCCTCTCCCTCCATCCAGTTAATAGACAAAAGTCATACACCGTTCCCCTCACCTTCCAGGCTTCATCTACTAAATAATCTCCATGAGTTATATGCAATATCTGTACTCTCCCCATACCTTCAGATGAAAAATAGCTAAGTTCTTACAAAATGTAATTTTTTTTGAGATTTTTTCCCGTTTATATCGTCTCACTTCCCATCTCCCCATGGGTTCCTAGTTCTTCTCACATTTCCCATGGGGATGAGGAGGAAGAATGTGAAAGAGAGAGTGAGCCCTTCTCCTTTTCCTTCCTGATGTTTCCTTGTCTCAGGCCCTTCCTCCCCATCCTTCTACTCCTAAGGCCAGCACCTTTTCAGCATGAGAGAGGGCAGTAGGACTCCTAATCAACAGGCTACAGGTTCTTTTGAGTGTGAAGCCTGAGTTTAGTTTTTGACACCAAATAGGTACCTAGTATTTCCACTTGACCATTCACAGGACCATTGCTGAAGCCTTGGAATTCTTTCAACACTGTTAGTAACTTAAACCGGGCCACTTGGCTTACCCTGGAGATATTAATTGCTTTAGTGAAAAGGTTACCTGATTGGCTCTAAAAATAGGAGGGCCATTGAACTGGGAATAGGAAGAGGCTGGGAACTAATTTTTGCAGGTGGCTGTTTAAAAAATAATCTATAGTTGCTTTCTTTCCCTCTGCCTACCCCCTCCCCTTTTCATCTCTGCCCTCTCAGCTTTAACACTAAGTCTGTAAACCACATTTTCTTCAGCTCTCACCTTAGCCTCACTCTGGTACATAAAAGAAAAACAAGGTGAAAGTTAGAAGTGTTTTGAGTTCCTTAGGCAAAAGTATTCTGTGACAGAAACAGTGTCTGGTGTTCTTTGACCTGGAGGAGATTTGAGGAGCACAGCATGATAAAGAATATGCTTTTTAAAATTGCTAATAAAAACCAAACTTGATCTGACATCCCTGGTCTGGTTTTGCTAGGACATAGGTCCAGGTTTTACTAGTAACTTCTAAGAGAGTGAATAGGCTACATTTGAAAAACAAACCCTAACCCAACACACTAGTAACAGAGATCTTGGACAATATTTTTTCTTCAATGCCAGCCCCACTAAGTGGCAAAAGCCCCTAAACAAAGAATGCTTCCTTCTCTGAGGGGAGGGGATGTCTCCTTTGGGAATTCAGCGCCTAATGGACCCCAGGGCAGAAGTGCCTCTTGCCCCTTCCCACCACCCCACTCCCACCTCAGCCCTTCAGCAATGCCTGCATCCTTTTATGAGGACTGCCCTCAGCTCAGGGAAAGTACCAGGGTTAGTGGGAAGAGAAATGAGGGGCTAAGCAGCAAAGAGCAAAGACATCACAACTATAAGGCAGAAAGCCCAACTTTCACCTTGGACCCTAGACATCATTCAGTTGGGACAAGAAGGGAGGGGCAGAGAGCTATGACCTTTACAGGTGTAAGGAGCAGGCAGCCCGCAATATCTCTAAAAGCAGGGCTGCGTGTCATGGTACATAGGATGGCATCACATTGGGAAAGGGGAGGTTTTACTTAAATATCTAACTTCTCAGAGCCTCTACAGCTTCCACCACCACCTAAACAAACCATCTCAGTTAGTTTGCTTCATTGGATCCATATGGGATTTCTGGCTGGAGGTTATGTTCCATCCCCTTGGGGCACAGGAGTCACACAGAGCTGCTAGTCTCTCTGGCTCTCCCCACCCCCTCTGCTTCTTCCTCTCCTTCCTCTGCCTTTTGGCCTGACCCCTCCTTGGCACAGCCCCCTAGCAGGGTGGGGCTGGAGAGGTACTGAAGGAGCCGCCCTTCTCTCTGGGCCTCCGCCAGCTCCTTGGCACAGCAGGTGGGTGTGTTGGTCTCGTAGGTGTCGTGGAAGGTGTTGTAGTCTACCTCGTAGAAGCCCTTCTCTAGGGTGAGGACCGGTGTGAAGCGGTGGCCCCAGAGAACCTCGGTGTCCATATAAGAGCTGCGGGCCTGGCAAGTCATGCCTAGGAGGACGGAGGACAGATAGAGTTAGAGGTACCCACTGGCATGTGGTTGTTCACATCATTAAATGTTTATCGATTGATTCATGTGTGTCCATAGGAGCCGGCGACACCCTTGTCCTTTCCTGGGATTCTTTCACACCCATGCACATGCATAAAACCACATTCATACAAAAAGACAGCTCTTGGAGTTGAAGTAGTCAGTCAGTAAGCATTTATTAAGCACCTATAATTTGCCAGGCACTATGCTAAGAGCTGGGATATAAAAAGAGGCATCAGGCAAGGCCTTCTATTCTATCTGAATGTTCCTCTGCTGGTTAGCTCACTTGATAAAAGATTTCGAATGGTCCTCCTACATGCAAGATTATTTGCCCAAGTAAAAGCTGTTCCACCACAATAGCCAGTGCTTGAAATTCCATTTGGTCAGCTTGCAAATGTGTGCTGAAGGCTCAGCACAGCCTATCACCACTTCTGGGAAACTAGCAGAATGTTTACAATCTACTGGCAGTGGATCAGTAGCACCATACATCTGGACTTCAAGGATTCATAATTTTATCAATGTAGGTACTCCCTCTGCAGTCAGATAGCAGACCCCTAGCCCTGAATGGTGATGATTAACATTTACATAGTGCTTTAAGATTTGCAAGGTGCTTTTACATAGATTATCTCATCTGATTATTGCAACAACCCTGTAAGGTAGGTGCTATAATTTATCCCCATTTTACAGATGAGGAAATTGAGACTGAGAGAGGTTAAATAACTTGTCCACAGCTAATAAGTATCTAAGGCTGGATTTGAATTCAGGTCTTTCTGACTCCAAGTCCAGCACTCTGTCCACTGCACTAGACTAGATGTGGTCTTCAAGGATTGTCATGGCTAAAAATGCATTGCTCAAGGAGTACGAGGCTTCACACATAACCCTTTTATTTTTTGTTTTTCATTGTTTCATTTTCATTTCATTTCATTTTCATTTTTCAAAATATTCATGTTTGTAATTAATTGTTATTTACAGAGCAAAAAGAAAAGAAAAAGAAAAAAGAAAAAGACATGCATTGTTCAGTAGACAGCCCAGTGATAGATTTCTCTAAAATTAGCTAGGATGGTCCTTGGATGAAGGGCATATCATTTATTGCCAGCCTGTACTTAAAACCTTGGATGGATCTATCAGAACTTGGGCTCCACTGGCATTACCTCCAAGAACCCTGAGTCCCCTTCAAACCACAATAAGGTATCAGAGAAGGCCTTCAGTGGGAGCCTTATGTCCACATATCAAAAAAGAAGATTACTGTTATTACCAATAATTACTAGTCACCTCCATAGTCCCTCCCTAATCTGTATATTTGGAATACGCATTTTCTTTTAAAAGAAAGAAATATGCACACCCACACATCCTTGGTTCTTTGCCCAAGGACACTAAATACTTCATCACCTCTTATTCACCATCAACATAGCTCTGGCCCTCTTAGACTTTCTGTACTCTCAGTATTTTTAGATTTAGGCTTCCCCCCAGAGAGGGAGGGAAGCTCTATTTTATGGATGAGGAAGTCTCCATGTTTTAGAACACAGGAAAGTAAACTTTCAGCAGTCCTTTGGACTGAGGGAATGTACCCTTTGGGCATGGAGGAGAAATACTTTTCTCATGTCCAGAATTCTGATGGGGTCTCATATCAAGGGAATCTGGTTTAAAGTCAGTTTTTGTTTGTTTGTTTGTTTATTTATCTTTTGTCAGTTTGGATTTTCCTATATTATCAAGCCTGTTCAGGTTCTAGGCCATCTGCTGTCTTCTCTTAGAAGCTGCTTGCCCCAGTCAGGTCTCCTTCACTGGGATGAACATTGCCATGTTGGAGAGCTAAACAAGTTGGAGGCAGGCTGACTCCAAGGGTTCACCCAGAAAGAAAAGACTGGTGGGAGGCTGGCCCATAGCTTGTACCAGACGAGTGATTTAGTTTCTTGCTGTTTCTCTCCCTCAGCTTCCAGGGCTTCTTGGATCTGGTTCTTCTGTCCGACGTTGGCCACAATGTGACTGATATTCCTGTGGAGGCATTTGGGGGAGGTGGCCTTTCTTCAACATGCTTTGATTTCCTTTGGGCTATCTATTTGTCTTGCCAGGCCAGATTGACATTGCTCCTTGGGTAGGGCTGATGGTGAGGTCCATCTTGGTGTGACTGTCCTAGAGGAAAGCTACCCTATTGGGATTCCAACATGTTACCTGAGACTCCTGTTAACTCTGGTGCTAGGTGTCAGCTAGGTGGTGTAGCAGATGGGAGTCCTGGGTTTGGAGCTGGGGAGATCTGAATTAGAATTCTGCCTTAGATATTTACTAGCTATGTTAACAATGACAAGTCATTTAATCTGTCTTAGCCTCATTTCCCTCATCTGTAAAATGAGAATAATAATAGCATCTACTTTATAGGGGTGTTGTAAAGATCTAATAAAATAACATATATAAGCTGCTCTTTGCAAACCTTAAAGCACTATATAAATACTAGCCATTATTTTCTAATGGCCAGCATTTTGCAGACTAAAGTCTTCTTGACTAGTACTCTTACTAGGCACCCCCCCAGATGCTTCTTCTCAATTGTATTTTTACAGCATTTTATACTTTTCAAAATGCTTTCTTGTCTAATATTTCATGTGAATCTCATGACAATCCTATGAGGTAGAAAGGGCATATGTGTGACCCTTAAAAATTATAGGGAGAAACATAGAAGAATGCTAACTGCCACCCAGATAAGAAGTCAATTACAAAAGAGCTCCAAAAAATATGTCAGACAATGGTATGCCAACCCTAAAGTTTAGGTATTTTCCAGTTTTTCTTGGTAACCCTCTATCACTCTATTATCCATGTTTGTCAAAACAATTTTTAATCCATTTAAAAATAGATCCCATTGGGGAAATGAGGTTCTGTAAGTCTATTATTTACTATGGGGAGTACCACTTCCTGTAGGATAGGGAATCATTCAGGGCCACAAACATGTACTTCAGGTCCCCCTCAGTGACACTGGTACCAAAGACTATTGAGCCCTGACTTAGGGTGAGCCCTTCTGACCTAGTATGGATGGTCAGGATACTGGGGTTGTATTGTCCCATTGTTTGGAAAGCTTCTGCATTTGGGTCAAGAGTAACATTTCTAGGAGTAAAGGAACTGTGCTTCTTGGCTTCCCCGTAGACATATCTCTGAAGGTAGGACCAAAGGGAGTTTGAGGGGGCTTCCCTTCCCACCTGCTACTCCTCTGGGAGGAGGCTGGCACGGTGGTGCTACTTTCCATGACTTCTTTGGGAAAAATAACAGGATTGGGGTTGTCCTGTCCCTTCCACTCCCCACTGGACAGCAGAGCTGACAGGGGAAGAACATTATTCCTACATGCTCTTCTATTTTGTCAGGGAGAGAGAAGAGTGACATCCATTCCTTGTTCTGACTGGTATCTTTGCCCTTGCTTGTTGTCATCACTGATGATGATGATGATGATGATGGGTTTGGGGGGACACTAGTCTATCTCTGAATGACCACTTTTTCCCTGAGAATCTCCTTGTTCTGATCCTGACTCCAAGGCGACAGACAGCGTGACTTTTAGAAGCTGGGGAGCTCATTATCCCCAAGCACTGGCAGTAGTTGACTTCTAGCATTTGTGATTATGTACAGCCCCATTGGTTCCTGGGGCTGCCACCAGCCATTTGTGCCATTTGGCAATTTACTGCAACTCCAGTGAGATGTTCAAGCTCGGGCTAGTTGTATGGCCACAGAGTAAATCACCAAAGAGTTCCTATTCCAACAGCCCCTGGCATCCTCCCTTCCTGCTACCCCGCTATTTCAGGTTTGGACTTTAAATATCTTTAGGCCCAACTCCAAAGTGGGGAAGATTTGGGGATGAAAGGTGTTGCTGAGATTCCTCCCTCCTAGAGCAACTTTCATCCAGCCCCCCACATCAAGGCTCAATCTTGGATCATGATGCCCTGGGTAGGTTTGGTTCATTTCCTGATATCCTCAAATCTGGAAAGGCAGAAAGCACAGGCATGGCAGATGGGAAAAAGGAAGAGAGGTTAGTTACAAGACAGAAAATAAGTGGTAGGAAAGGGTAGGGCAAGGGTTGCTGGGATCTAGAATCTTAGGGCCTAGTCTTGAATCCTCACTCCGCTACTCATTCCCTGTATAAACTTGAGCAAGATACAACCTCTCTGGGAGTCATTGTTCTCATTTGTAAAAATAAGTTGGTTAGATTAGATGTCCTGAGATCTGATCCTGTAATTCCTCACAATGTCCTGCTGGGGGGAAGGAGGGAGGGGAGGGAGAGGAGGGAGTCAAGGACCCTGAGTTGGCTCACAAACCCTTGGCTTTTTAAAACTAAGTTGTGAGTGTGCTACATTGGCACAGGACCAAGAAGGCTCTTTGTCATCAGGTGTCTCTGAGGAGCAACAGCCGCAGGCTGAGGTGCCAGGTCAGGACACCAGGATGCATTTCCATGGCACCTCTGGGTATTTATGTCTCATTGAGGATGCAGTATTATGGACAAGTGAAGAACACTGGGTTTTCTGCCCACTTACTGAACAGGCAGGCAGGCAGACTTCTAGGAGCATGTAGACAGAATCCTATTTTGCGGCAGGAGTGAAGACTAAATTATATCCACAACCACTCCAATTCCATGTTATTTTAAAGTTTACATTGAGATTCCTTTATAACAACACTACAAGGGAGGGGTGCAAGTATTTCCCCCCTCATTTTACAGGTGAATAATTTGAAGGTCAGAGAGGTGAGATGATTTATTCAAGCTAGTTAGTCTCAGACCTGTGTGCTAATCCTGCTCTCTTTATTCTAAGTTCTATGTTCTCTCCACTATACTAAGCATTTTCTGTGAACTCTAGTCCAAGAGTTCTTAACCTTTTTTTTTTTAATCCTATCCTTTGGCAGTCTGGGGAAGCCTAAGGACTTCATTTCAGAATAATTTTTTAAGTGAATAAAACAAAAAATTACAAAATAAATCTGGGTTGCAAAATAAATCAATTACATTGCAATATGCTCATCAAAATTTTTTTTTAAAGTTCATGGACCTCAGATTGAGAACTCCTGATCTAGTCCCTCCTAGCCCTGACATGTTGAAATGTTTTAAAAATATATTTGAATTTCATAATCTGTGGTACAATAAGTTAAAAGCTCTCCCAAAGACCTGGACTTTATGTTTTCATATGGGGCTCTGACTTTCTTGGACAAGGGATGTAGTGACTGGGTAGCACCATGGGATTATAGATTAAGAGCTATTAGGGTCACTGAGTCCTGAATCCCAGAGAGATAAAGTAACAACAAGTTCCTACAGGTAGTATGTAGCAGAGCCAGGATATAGGGAGGTCACTGCAAAATAAGCTGCTCCATGGACTTGGAGGACAATTGGCCATATCTTACCTGTAGCTTCTACCATGCCTTCTAAGATGACTACCACCTCAAACTCTTCCTGATTCAACTGCGCCCTGGACATCTCCCAGAAAGGGCTCTTCTCATTGATTTCATGGGAGATGATGAGTGGCGACACCAGGAAGAGGCGGTCATCCCCAGTGTCAAAACCCACATTAATGTCTGTCTGATTTAGGGGAATGAACTCCCCTTCTTTGGTCTGCCTGGACTTGATGAGCTTGGCCCTTATGGAGGCCTCTACGATGTGAGAATTGCGGAGATCACCCACCCGGAACATGAGGCAAAGCTTATCATCCCGCATAGAAATGACAGCGTTGTTAGAAAACATGAGAGTCTCAGCCCTTTTCTTGGGCTGACTGATCTTGACAAACATGCAGCCCACCATGAAGGCATTGACTATGGAACCTAGGATGGCTTGGACCAATAGGAGGATGATCCCCTCTGGACACTTCTCTGTGATGACCCGGAAGCCATACCCAATGGTGGTCTCTGTTTCAATGGAGAACAAGAAGGCAGAGACAAAGCCACTGAGATTCTCAACACAAGGAACCCAGTTTTTGTCCCCAACATGGTCCAGGTCTCCCCGAATGTATGCGATGAGCCACCAAATAAAGCCAAAGAACAACCAAGTAATGGTGTAGACCATGGTGAAGACAAGGAGATTGAAGCGCCACTTCAAATCCACCAGGGTTGTGAAGAGGTCACTCAGGTAACGATAGGTTTCCTGGACATTACCATGATGCACGTTACACTTGCCACTCTTCTCCATGTATCGCTGGCGGGGCTTCTTGCCTTCTGTCAGAAGACGAGTCCGATCAGTAGTGATGGGGATATAATCACGGGCCTGTTTGGGAATCTTCCTGGGGTCTCTGGGGGTGGTTCCAATCTCCATGTCTTGGTTCATGGAATTCCTAGAATCTCCAGCCATAGCTTTGCTAGTTTGGGGTAAAAGAGACATAAATCAGTGATATTGATTTTTCTAGTTTAGCTGAACATGTCCTAAGTAGAGAAATATGGAATCATAATGGTGAAAGGCACCATAAAAAATATGTAAATCCAGCCCCTTCCAATTTTGCACATGGGGAAACTGAGACAAAGTGACTTGTCCAAATTTACTTAACAACTTAATGACAGAGCTGTAACTAGGACCCCAGGTCACCTGACTCTTTCCATTGTATGATTGTACCTCAAACTGTAAAGCAACAGTTTTTACAAAGTAGAATGCAATGTATTTAACATGCATGGAGTGAATCAATTCAATAAACATTCATTAAATGCCTACTTTGTGGACACCACTAGAGAAGGCACAATGTGAAGGGAAGATACAGTTTTAGAGGTCCTTGCTCTCACAGAGTTTTCATTTTAGCAGGAAACTATGTACATACATGCATACATCCATGTATACATATGTACAAATATACACACATGTATACATGTACACAGAAGCTATGAGACAAAATAATACATGATAATTGAATTAGAGAGGTATAAACTACCATGTAAAGTGCAAGGCGGAAAAGTTGTTATCAACTGAGGGAAATCAGGAGAGAATTCTTGGAGGTGGCAGATGAGCAGGACTTTAATAGGAATTCCAAAAACAAATATTCCAGGTGTAGGGTACTATATGAGCAAAGACTTGGAAATCATGTTCATGGATAAAGAGCGGTTGGGTTTGGTAAAGGGGGAAAGGTATGATGTTGCCAGGTTGTGGAGGAATCTGAATGCTAAGCACAGATGTTTCAACTTCATTTGGTAGGCAAGAGAGAGACACTGAAGATTTTTGAGTAGAGAGGAAAACAGCCAGACACATGCAAGAAAAAAATTATTCTGGCAGTTGTATAAGGGGTGGATTAAAGGAGGAAGAGGGTGAAGACAGGAAGATCTTTCAGGTGGCCATTGAAATCATTAGAAAGGTGGTATGTAGGACCTGTACTAGGGTGGTGGCCATGGTAGATAGGAGGGGATGATATAACAGAGATTAAAAATATAGAATAACATGGAGTGATAAATCTGTCCAAAAGTTTGAATACATAATAAAATGTGACTATATATAATCCTCACCACCACCACTATGAAAATGCCATGTTCCTAAGTGTAATCTTGCTTGACCTGCTCTCTCAAGATGCCCCAGATACAGTCCCTGCCTTCTAAGAGTTTGTGAACCACAACACCATATGGCATGATTTTCATCATAGACTTGTAGAACCTGAGGTGACTCGAGAAATCCTTTAGAATGCCAGTTTCCCAATGTCTTCCAAATAGGTCCCAGAGAACTTTGAGATGGGGTTCATATTTTATCCTGCTTGCTTCCACAGATATGTAATGACACCCACCTCTCTACAACTTCCTAACCTAGGGAGCTTACAAGTTCATTTCATATGCAGCTGGAAAGAATTGTGATGTGGGTTGAGAATATGTGGAGCCTGCAGACCTAGGTAGTGCATGATTTATACTTTGACTATTTAAACTGCCCCCTCCAAGAAGTAGATCACATTTAACACCACCTTGAGGGACACAAGTCATTTAGACCCTTTGTCATTTTTATGAGCAGGCTTGTCTTGATTTTACCTACATTCATCTCACTAAAGAATCAGGGCTGTTGTTTAAACAAATGCAAAGCATTCTTCATAAATCTACCAGCACATAAATCCAGCAGCAGCCTCTCCTGGATCCCCTGCCATAGAAGGCCCCTGACATTTCTTTTTCCTTCCTTGGCTTAGTCCGGCAGGTTCATAATGACCTTCCCCAAATTAAATGATGGGGTCATATAAGGAACTGTTCGCTTTGTATCTTTAATGTGCATTTCCCACTCTCTTCTATACCACCTGCTCCCCATTCCCTGTCAGGCTTCTTACAAGGATAAATGAGACAAGGAGATTGAAAGGCTTAGAGCTTCTTTGCAGAAAAGGTGAAAATCAAGTCCAGGCCTGAATGCAGGTCTTCATCAAACAGGGGTGGGGAACCTGCAGACTTGAGGCCACATGTGGCCCTCTAGGTCCTCAAGTGTGGCTGTTTGACTGAACCCAAACTTCACAGAACAAAACCCCTTAATAAAAGAATTTGTTCTGTAAAACTTGGACTCAGTCAAAAGGCTGTACCTAAGGGCCTAGAAGGCCACATGTGGCCTTGAGGCTGCAGGTTCCCCACCCCGGTCAAGGATATTATTCTTTCATCAGAATTATTCATTCATTCAACTATCATTATGAAACACCCTTACTGTGCCAGGCACTGTTCTGTGATACAACAACGAAACAGTTCCTGACTCCAAGAGGCTTACATTTGCAAGGGAAGGGAGGGTAGATAGAAATTCTGTTTTTCTGAAATGAAAGATGCCCAGAGATGGGCAAAATAGACATTTGGATCCAACAACAGAATTGATTCTGGACAGTCCAATTACTAGAACTCTAAGTGACAATATCATGGAAATTTTAAATACTGGGATCTGGGATGTGCTTTGTGTGCAATGAATACACTGCTTTAGGATGTACTCAGGAAAACAGAAGACTTTAGATTAGCCCCCTCACAGTTGTTACAGGATGCTTTGTGCTGATTTTTTGTTGCCTTTCTCTGTTATCCAACTTACTCTCACCCATAATTGCAAGATAAAGCTTTCTAGTATGTTTAAAAAGAATCAAGGGTGTTCTAAGCACTAATACCCATATTTGAAATTCTCCTATAGAAGGGCCCCAAAGGGGTAATTTCAATATTAATTGCCATTTTATAGCAATTCATAATTTCCAAAATATTTTATAATAATCTTCAGTTATAATAAGGACTTAAAATAACCTTATAATAAGTTTATAGGATACTTTCCACACTATATGGTATTAAAAATTATTTAAAATAATAGTAAGGTAAATCATGCTGCTATTGTTGTTATGAATTTACATATAAATAAACTGAGACTTTGAGCAGAAGTCTCTTTGAGCAGAGTTCTACTCCTCCTTCCACAATTGATTTCTTCATTGACCCTGGGAAAATCCCCTTAGCCTCTCAATGTCTCAGTTTGCCCACCTGTAAAAAGAGTACCTCATAGTGCTGTTATGAGGACCAAAAGAATCTATAAATAAAATAAATAAAAATTCTTTGTGTTTTTAGGAAGCACTATGAAAGCATAAGCTACTATCAGCTTCATTTTAGAAATGAAGAAGTTGAGGTCTGGAAAGCCCAAATAATGTGTCCAAAGTCAACCTGTAAATAATTCAATTTGAGAAGAGTTTTGTGATGGAATACTACTGTGCTATAAGAAAAAATGAGCAGGTTGATTTTATAAAAAATGGAATATACTGCATGAAATAATGAAGGGTGAAATGAGCAGGACTAAGAGAACGAGGTATACAGTTCAAAGCAATATTGTTTGAAGAATAATTATGAACAACCAACTTATTTTGAGTATTATAAATACTCAAATTAACTACAAAGAACCTATGAAGGAAGATGCTATCCATACTCTCAGAGAAAGAACAGAGAAATAAAATTATGCATAGTATGATTTTTAAATATATTTATAAATCTGTGTCAAATGGTGGCCTGGGAGGGAGGGAGACACTTTGAAACTAAAAATATAACAAAAAATTAATTAAAAAAATAAAGAACAGCAAAGTAGTTTTTTGTTATCAGCAAAACAAATAAACAAACCAACCAAAAAAACCCTACTAAATGCAAGGTGCTGGGGACTGGAAGTCAAAAGTGAAAAATAGTTCCTGCCCTCAAGGAGCTTACATTTTCTTGGGAGTATAGCTGCCCTTCTGCTTGAGACAGGCCATACCTTAACTCGAAATTCTCTTGTCTCTTTTTTCCAGGATTTGCAAAAATTCTTATTCCAAAAATCTCCCTAAGGTCAAAAGGATTTGCAGGGATTTCCCTTAATTGGACCCTTCAAAATTCAGAATATTCTCTTTGGATGAGGGGGCTTTGATAAATTCACTTCTAGAGAGATTCAGGGAAAGTCTGGCATATCATCAGCTACCAGGGTCCTCTAGCTGTATTCTGAAGGATGCAGACAGACAGTGACCTTAGCAAATCTTATTGAAATCTAAGCAAGTCCATTAGGGCTCTCTAGCTTTAATCTTCTTTTGAAGGGGAATGGGGACTGGTATACAGATGTGATTAAAGTTCTTGGGAAAGACAAAGTTTAAAGGTCCAACAAAGCAGATTAATCTCTTTGATATGAAAAGCACAATAACCAAAGGGCAGACATAGGTAGGCAAAGGGAAGGGAGGCTTCCTAGGCTGGCACATCAGTGAATCATGGCTTCCTCTCTACTGGGCTAAAGTGCCCCTCAAGACTATAGAACTCATCTGTCCATATTGATGGGGATTCTTCTCCAAGTTGTAGCTACAGGAAGTCAGAAGTCACTGACATCCCTGGCCAAATAGTACCTACAACTGAAAGGTCACATAACTTCCTGAAAAGAGCATTGAACTGACACCCTTGTCTCAGGATCAGTTTCCTTATCTGTAAAATAGGAATAATCAGAATCTACTTCTTCCTCTTCATCTCCTAACAAAGAATCCCTGAGTTGTTTGTTTAAATGCAAGTGGGGGAAGAAATCTATTCTTATGAACTTTGGGGGTTGTATGGCTCTGGAGTTAGATACTTTCTTTACTTGTAAAGGTATATATATATACTTGGATCACATGAGGCTTTACTCAGTGGGAGAGAAGATCGTAACCTTCCTGAGTTAATGATTAGTAAGACAGAGGTTTCATCTGAGGAGATAATGAGAAATTTTTTGAACCCCAAGCATCCCTATTGAAAGGTAGAGCAGAAACATTGGTTTAATGGCCTTTAATGATTTAGTATTATACTAAGTCCCTGAGAGGTCTGTATAACAGAACACTTGATTAGCTCTTTCCTGGAGTGAAGTGGACTACTCATGTGGGGATAGATGGGTAGATAGTGAGCTTAAAACAAAGACAGAAAGAA